TGTGTTGTGGCTGGGTTGTTATAGGTCTGCGTGACTCTCGATGTCTTAGGCCTAATTGAACGGAGGAATTATGGTATTCTTCTGAAGCCTGACGACGAGTAACTTTAACCGTTGTTCATGTGAACAATTTATTTGATCAAAATGACAGTAAAAACAATAATATTGTCAAAAATTATAACAACTTAAAATAAATGTTTTCAATTTAAACATTTTAAAATGTAATTTATTCCTGTGATGCTAAAGCTGTCTCTTCAGTGTCACAAGATCCTTCAGAAATCAATCTAATCTGCTGATTTGCTGCTCAAGAAACATTTTTTATTATTATCAATGTTGACAATTCTTCATATTTTTGTAGAAACCGTGATAGATGTTTTTCAGGATTCTTTGATGAATACAGAGTGCAAAAAAATAGCATTTATTTCAAATAGAAATCTCTTGTAAGATTATAAATTGCCGTACTGTTATTTTACTACCCTTGTTGAATAAAAGTTTTAATTTCTTTCAAAAGAAAAAATATCTTACTGAGCCCAAATTTTTGAACAGTACTGTAAAATCCGGGATAAAAATGGTGCCATGAAAATAGCACCCGTTATCCCAAAGTACTATATTAAGAACTGTATAGATCAAGTAATCCATTTTCCATTATCACAACTGGTAATTTAAAGATCTGTCTCTGACAGAACCTACAACATCTAACACCAACCATGGTGTGTATGCATGCGTGAACAGTATGTTCGTGCACCTGTCTAGGGCTCTTTACCCTTTTCAAAACACTCCATTAGTTCAGAAACCCTCCTGAGCAGGTGTTGTAAGTGTGTATGCTGGCAAGACTGCCTGTGTATGTGTATGATTGCAGACCCCAGATGTCAGTGTTTGAACCCTGGCGCCCCGCTAAGCCTGACTCACCTCAGCACCTCGTTGGGGTTTCCTGACTTGCTGCCTTTCTTGTCAGGTGTGCCGTGGCATCCAGACTTAAGCAGCGTGTGAGGACCCCGATCCAGCATCATTGTGGAGGTTGCCATGGCGATTATGGCTACAGCATCACGCACTCGAGCCTCCAGTCCGTAGTCCCACTCATCGTAGGAAACAGAGATCAAACCTGAGATAAAGGAAGTGTAAATTCAGTAAATACAATCATCTGAAATATTTGCGTAGTTTTTTAGCTAAATATTTCTATATAGCTTTATTTATTTTAATTTGAAATGCGACAAGTGAATTTAGGCATCACAACATTATAATGTACAGTATGAAAAATGTATATTATTTTGAGATTTTACAAAGTTTAGTAAGTGTTAGATCATCTGAAATATTTCGATACACTGACAAAAATGGTGTAGAATAAATTTTCAATCAGAAATTGCTAATAAATTTCAAAAACAAAGAAATGGCATGCAACGCTGAATTAAGTGAAAAACTGAAATTGTATTATTTTGTAAAACATACTCCAATAACATTTATTTATATCTATGAAATATTTACACCTAGTGTGTGTGTGTCTGTGTGTGTAGTATATATATATATACATATATACATACATAGTTGTAATAAATATTTCATAGTAAATAAATGTGTTTTTCCCCCATGAAGTTCAACCTTTTTTTAACCCAATCCTTCTTTTCTTACCTGTTGGAAAGACGCTGGGTACATTATCTGCATCCCCTGTCACCAGAGATGGTACGATCCAGGTGTAACCATAACCAGTGAGGCCGACAGAATGGGCCACCTCGAAAATGGTCATGGCTTCTTCTTTTGTGCAGTACAGTAGTATAACAGGACTTTGGAGCTTCTTCATCTGGTTCTGGATCTTTGAGTCACCATCATCTACTGACATGTCCAACAGCAGCACCTCTTCCAGCTCCCAGCCAACAAAACTGTTCTCGACGGTACTCCGGATCTGGATGAAGGCAAAACAGACAAAGAAAGATGAAAAAACAGCATGTCCTGTAACAGCCTCCTGCTGCCTCCAGCTCTCCCGAAATGGTTCGCTTTTGTTCTTTAGATATATGAGAGTTTAAAAAGAAAACTGGCAAAAAGACAACGAGAGATAGAAAGGGAAAGCTAATTTTTTGTTTAAAGGAATACATGAAAACACTAGTCATAAAAGTGAAATTCCCATCATGCACTGCTTCTTCCAGATACCAGCCCAGCAAACATTTTTTGATCTCTGTGATTTGTAAAGAGAAGCCAACCTAACCCACATTTCAAAATGCACAGAACTGCTCTGCTCTGTCTGAGACAGAGTGAAATTAAACTGCATTTCCTCATAACAAATTGTTCAAACACGAGTCCACAGAGATGCTTTCCATTATAATCTAGTGCAGTCAGAACTAGAGGGAGATGGAATTATCGTACCCACAAATCTGATGATGCATATTTCTGTATTGCCCAATATTTCCAGCCAATTTGACAGACTTGCAAATTGCACTGACGGTATCATTACACACATGCAGTCAAGTGTAGTGTGAGCATCCGGTACCACAGGGGTAAACCTACAAAAAATGACTGTGATGGTCCCTTTTAGTTTTATTTATATACTGTTTTATTAAAAGTAATAACAGTAGAATGTATATATTAATATTTTTAATTAGCTTTTATTTCTACATTATTAGTTTTCATTTTATTTTTAGTTTGAGTTTTAGTATTTTTTGTTTTGTTTTGTTATGTGTCATGTGTTTCTATATAGCTTTAATTTTCAACTTAAATTTATTTCAGTTAGTTGCCAAGGCGATTTCTTTAGGTTTCTTCAAATTTTCATTTTTGGGTCCCTTTTAATTATTTTTCTAATAGTAATCTAATTTGTATTCATATTTCATTTTATTTCAGAATTATTTCAGTTGCTGAATTATTATTTTTTTATTACAGTTTTAGTTAAATGTAACAACACTGGTTTATACTCTAGTTAATTCTGGCCAGTATTGATAAGTTGCTAATTATTGATATGTCGATAACTAAAAAATGGTTGGTATTAAAATTCAACTAAAACTGAAGTTGAATTTCAGTTTCCCCCCCCAAAAAAAACCCTGCCTGCTATACACCTGCAAGAACATCAAGAGCCTGCTGCATGAGCCTCCTCAATAATCAGAGCATCCTCTGGACCTCTACTGGGCTCTGCTTGCATCGCCCTGAGGTTGCTCCGATTTGGGGAATTACTGAAAGTACAGCAGAAATCAAAGAACCCAATCCTGACCATTGCACTGTGTATTTAAGAACTTTATCCACAGCACTGTGTGCCAGACAAATTTACGAGGTCTGTGACAACAGCTGACTGTAAGTTAAAGCTATTGCTTCCCAGTTGAGGCAGTGTACAGTAGTATATGACAAACATTTCTATATTCACTATACAGATTTCTAAAGCAGTGTTATTTTAGTATTATTGCAGTTTTTTTTTAATCAAAATTATTATTAGCTTTTATTGCTATATTTCAGTTATTTTAATTTACTTTTTAGTAATTTTGACATGAGCCTCTGTCATTTTTATTAGTTGTTGTCCTTTTTAAATATTAGTATTTAGGTTAAATTTATTTTTATTTCACTTTTAATTTTTATTTATTTTCAGTTAGTAAGCCCTGAGGTTGCTCCGATTTGGGGAATTACTGAAAGTACAGCAGAAATCAAAGAACCCAATCCTGACCATTGCACTGTGTATTTAAGAACTTTATCCACAGCACTGTGTGCCAGACAAATTTACGAGGTCTGTGACAACAGCTGACTGTAAGTTGAAGCTATTGCTTCCCAGTTGAGGCAGTGTACAGTAGTATATGACAAACATTTCTATATTCACTATACAGATTTCTAAAGCAGTGTTATTTTAGTATTATTGCAGTTTTTTTTAATCAAAATTATTATTAGCTTTTATTGCTATATTTCAGTTATTTTAATTTACTTTTTTAGTAATTTTGACATGAGCCTCTGTCATTTTTATTAGTTGTTGTCCTTTTTAAATATTAGTATTTAGGTTAAATTTATTTTTATTTCACTTTTAATTTTTATTTATTTTCAGTTAGTAATTTTAATTCTTCAACTTCAACTTATTTCAGTTAGTTGCCAAAGCAACATTTCATTTTTTTTAGTTTCAGTTTTCCATTTAATATTTAGATTTTATTTCAATTAACAAAATGTTTTTAATAGTTCTAGTTTTAGTTAACAATAAATAACCCTGTTCTAAAGAGGCTGTTTTTGCTAGCATGAATTAAAGGTTCAACACTACTATTATAGCGCTTAAGGCTAAAGTCACATATTGTGAGAGAGGTGTGATGAATGAACAGAAAGATGGTTACAGGGAAAATTCCACTAGTCATCATTTACTCCCCTTTATGTCATTCTGAACCCGTTTCTATTTTGCGACTTTCTATCTTGCGTGCAGCCTCTTTTCTGTTGTCACATGCAGGGTGTGAATGACATAAGGGTCAGTAAATGTAAATGATGACACAATTTTCATTTCTGAGTGAACTATGCCTTGAAATCAGAAACAATAAGACGAAATTGGAGAGGAAAGTAGCATTAGTTCCTATAGGAGCGACGTATACTGAAAGTAGGTGAAAGGACAGGTGCATTAGTTTTGACAGGAGCCCCAGCATACAGAAGACAGAGCAGAGGAAGAGAGCATTAGTTGAGACAGGAGCATTGGCAAACTCCTGATGATGAAAGAGACTTGAACTGCAGCGGCTGGCACCCCAGCGGGAGTTAGAACGGCGGTATTAGGGTGTGAACCGAACCAGCTAGAGTTTCCAGAATTAGGGGCAGTGAAGCAAACAGCAGTCTGGGGTTTCACGAGATCCCCATCTCAATTTGGCCAAATTGGTTTAGCTCTGGATAGGTGATTTAAAGTGCACGACTGGAGCAGGACGTTTCTCAGTGGTAAGTGTCAAGTGTTAACAAGTTTGTGGTAATTATAAGATGTGATGAAACAAATTTACTCTCACAGCGTAGGATACAGCGTCTTCTCGACATGATGTTAACCACACGGAAATGTTACTGTTTGTGGGCGGGCAAGTTGGCGACGTAACTTAGAATGTGGGCAGACATTATGCAAATGTGTTACTTCGTGACGTAGAGCC